TGTTTGGTCACTTTTATTTATATATATATATATATATATATATATATATATATATATATATATATATATATATATATATATATATATATATATATAATTTTGATTACAATTAAAGGATGTGGATGATTTGGATTATCAGCTGCTCCACTTTGCACCTGCAGGGCTGCAAGCCTCAAAGCTTCTTTTGTCAAATTCTTGCTGTTGCTGGAGCTGAAAAGCAAGCAGGGATGGAGGTGTTTTGGTGTGTGTGTGTGTGAGAGAGAGATCAGTTGTGGATGCCCTTGCTGTGGAGTCACCTTGACGACCCCTCAGCAGCACAGAGAGCTGCCTTTGTCACGCTTCTGCTCGCATTATTCACCTGCCGTCACACGCAGCACATTCATGCCTGTAGATGTAGAAGTATTTTAACAAATAGGGAAAGTTTTTCATCGAGCACTAAAGAAAAATTAGTCTCTCTAATGGTCTATCGTCACGTTTTTGAGTAAAATGCTTAAATATGGTAGTTAGTAAAGCAAGCAAATCAACACGGTGCAATAAAAGTGCAGCGTTCTCGTAGAGACGATGCATAAAGAGTCCAATTGGCCGTGTAAAGCATAAGTACGGCTTTAAACTTCAGTGCAGAGCGTTTAAGGTCTAAGCAGCTCAGCATCTCGGCTCATAAACACCAGGCTTCCTGGTAACGCGTCGCCAGGGCGACGTCCTCAGCACCACCGAGAGGAGCAGAGCACGGCAGAAGCTGCTTTAGGGAGTGTTAGTAACAAACTGTGGCTTTAATCTGACAGGAACCGGAACGGGGTCGGGTCTCAGAGCTCGGTTTGTGACACGGTTTGTCGTGAGAAGCCATTTGCTTTACGGTAGAGCCGACGCAGATGGATTGTTTTCTGAAAATGAAAGCGTGTTTTACGTAAAAACCTGCCTCACCACCACCCGGTCCATAAAGTCTAACATCTGCCAGGGTCTCTTTCTGTTATGAAATCCACTAAAGGTCAAAAGAATCTGGTTCAGACACCGGCAGAAGAGATGGCCTTTAACACAGTAAGGGTCTGTAAGGTCTGCAGTTTCTTCAGGCTGGTTTAAGAGGCGGTTGGTAACTGAAGTGTGCAACATCCAGGGCAGTGACCCAACTGTAAGCTCTGTTATGTAATGGCTTTGATAACATATCCTTATTTTCTTTCTTTTGGTGTGTGGGAATGTCTAATTTCCAGCTATTTTTAATAGCGGTGCACCGATT